GGGGGGGGGGGGGGGGGGGGGGGGGGGGGGGGGGGGGGGGGGGGGGGGGGGGGGGGGGGGGGGGGGGGGGGGGGGGGGGGGGGGGGGGGGGGGGGGGGATGTGGGTGAGGGGTGTGGGTGCAGATACAGTACACCCACAGCCACACACACATCCAGCCACCCACGCCCTCAGCTGGCGCTTTCCTTCAGTAAAATAAAATGGTCTAATCTTTTGGATTTAAGTATGATTTCACTAGAAATTTTAGTTCAGTCAACTAGATCACAACAATAATTTATTCTCTGACAATCTAAGTTAATTCTCTCGCGAATACTCTCAGAAAATGGTTCAGGTACTAATTAATTATTACGTAATATCTCAGTAAACTAAGTTCAATGATTATCATCAATAGTTCTGGTTTATAAACAGATGCGTAATTTATTGAAACCTTTCCTCTCATAAAATAATTTTATCATCAAGTAATAATAGTTATATGCGAACGACGGTTTTATGCATTTGTGTTCTGTAATCGTTTACATAAATATATATTCAAGTTTCAAACGACTGTGTCTATCTCCTAGAGTAATTAACTGCAGAAACGATTTCGTAGCTTGTATACTAATTGAACCATAGTTGGAACAATAGAACGAAGCCCAACTGAAAGTCCATTGATAACAGACAAGAAGACTGTTAATGCATAAAGAACATCGAAGCGTCTTGCATACAAATAAGTACAATGTGTTGGTTCACATGCATTATAATATCGTTCATAAGATATTTCGCTAGACCAGAAATCAATAAATAACTGAGAGGCAATTGGTTTGATTGTATCATTGATTTTAAAATTTGAATTTGCTGATGAAAACTCAAGTGGTGGAATATCAATGACATATCCTAACTCCTGTGTATTTGGATTTCCAAGATTCGTCGCTTGCATCAAGTCAATCCTACATAAATTGGAGAAAAAACAAGAGAGTGATGAGTGAAGAATCGATTCAAGTAGATAACATCCAGTATAGATATTTTCGATAGTGTAAACTTTATGATGAGTGATATTGTAGAAACTTGCCAATTCTACACAATTAATTGAAGTTCCACATGAACAAGTTCCATCACTATAAGTTTTTGGTTTAATAAGAATAGGAGCATTCAGAGCAATTCGATCTACTTGAAAATTCATGTTGATTCCCACAGTCGATATAAAACCGTTTCCTTCAGTAATTCCATGAAACATTTGCAGTTGACTAAAAAATAAGATTGCAGTTGACTTTTGAAATAATTGTATTGTTGTGTGTATTTTAGTCTCAAATAGAATAGGAGACATAACTTCAGATGAAACAAATAGTTCTAAATTAAATTGTTCCATAGCATTAAAGACAGTTGAGCTTGCTAGTTCACAATACTTTTGTAAAAAATTAAAGAATAGAATAGACCAATGTCGGAAATCATCGGTCTGAAGCCACCATATCGAAGTTTGTTGGTAGGGAGAAAAATATTGAAACCATATGCTTGTGAAGTTCTTCTTGGTGCAAATAGGATGAAATGTTGCATTCATAAATATAATAAATTCATTGTAAGGTATAGATAAATGAGAACAAGGACACTCCAGTGTATCAAAATAAGATTCTTGAAGACTTGTATCAGTTAACAGAGAAGAATTTGAAATTGTTATGGTAGTTGTTCGTTCAACTAATCCAGTATAAAGACAAAGAATAGTTGNATGCAACATATTACGGTTCTCTTTTGTACCTGAGAAAAATGCCGAAGATAACAATCCTCCATTTATTGCGGTACACCATAAAAACTAAAAAAAAAGGCTTTTTTCACATCTTGGTCGTATTTTGAGCTTTTCTTCATGTCTGTTCACCGTTGCAAGCAGTAGAAAGTCTCAAAAGATAAAAAAGTTCAAAGGCTTTCAAACAATGGATTCAAATTTTTGGAATGGTATCGTTTGATGAGGCTATAGGTAAATTACTAGCAAAATGTCACTCATAAACCATAGATCTCCCTCACCTTGTGAAGGCATTGTCGATTACTAAAAGTTATTATAATCACCATTGATATAGACCATTCTTTAAAGAACTCTTTTCTGATCTTTTGAGATTTTTTCCGATTTGAAACGGTGAACAGACATGAAGAAAAGCTCAAAATACGAGCAAGATGTGAAAAAAGCCTTTTTTTTGAGTTTTTATGGTGTACCGCAATAAATGGAGGATTGTTATCTTCGGCATTTTTCTCAAGTACATCAGAAAATCGTAATATGTTGGATTTATAAGTTTCTCGACATGATCTTTCATTTCAGCTAAAAATATCCCGAAAAAAAAAAGTTAGCGGGAGTTGGTCCTATATAAAGCTGTGGTCGATCTTCTCTTAAGTTTTTGTTCGCAAAAGCGACACGATCTCGATAAATCAATATCAAGACAATTGCAGACTACTAAGGTACTTTCATTTTATAATGTTTTCAGGGTGGGGAAAGATCTGATAATTTTTGATCACCTCCTTTTATGATTGTATTGATATTTATTTCATATTTATCATAATGCAAGCTAAACATTTATTATGTGAAAATTTCATTTTCATCAAGAACTACGGTACCTTCATGAGCAACTTTCGTATGCGTATCCGTATGTATGTGTGGATGGGCATGCTTTTCGACATCCGATTTGCGACGAACGGCATTATGTTCTGCATATTCAGATTTGTGATGTGTACTTTTTGACTCATTATTTTTTGTTGTTGCGTTTGTTTCACTTGTTGCTTCACTATGTGCAGTTAAATACTTATTCTGTTCGTGTGTTTTAAAATGGACTTGGTTTGGATGAAATTTATCAGAATTTTTTTCATGGATTGAGCTTGATGAAGACATCGTTTTGTCTTGTAACTTATTAGAAATAATGTAATAATTTTAGTTGTAGTCGTGGCTTTTTATGAAAAGAAAAAAAGAACGCGCAACTGAAATACGTCGTAAGAATTTTGCCGTTAGTTTGAGAACCCATAACCTTTTTCTAGATTCTGTTTTGCGTCGTAATAATAAAGTATACGAGTGTTTTTCTGAAAGACGGTAACTAAATAAGAACGGAAAAAAAAATAGAAAACAAAAAAAAGGCATGTATATTTTCTCACCTTATTGACTGAATCTCGAACAATACATACTCTAACGCATTGGCATAAAAAATGTCCATGAAAATGAAATGTCAGTTTTATTCTAAAATCTTGAGGGTGTGGGTGTGTGATTGTGGGTCTAGGATGTACAGAGAATATCGACACGCATACCCATCCACACCCACACCCACACTCACATCCAACACTCACACCCAACACCCACACCCACACCCACACCCACACCCACACCCCATGATGAGTTACATTGTAGAAACTTGCCAATTCTCCACAATTAATTGATGTTCCACATGAACAAGTTCCATTACTATAAGTTTTTGGTATAAAAAGAACAGGAGCATCGAGAGCAATTCGATCTACTTGAAATTTAATGTTGGTTCCCACAGTTGATATAAAACCGTTTCCTTGAGTGATTCCACGAAACATTTTTAGTTGACTAAAAAATAATATTGCAATTGACTTTTGAAATAATTTTATTGTTGTTTGTATTTGAGTCTTAAATAGAATAGGAGACATAACTTCAGATGAAACAAATAATTCTAAATTAAATTGTTCCATGGCATTAAAGACAGTTAAGATTGCTAGTTCACAATATTTTTCTAAAAAATTAAAGAATAGAACAGACCAAAACCGGAAATCATCGGACCGAACCCACCATATCGAAGTTTCTTGGTACAAAATAAAATATTGAAACCATATGTTAGCAAAGTTCTTCCTGACGCAAATAGGATGAAATGATGCATTCATAAATAAAATAAATTCATTGTAAGGTATGGATAAATGAGAGCAAGGACACTGCAGTGTATCAAAATAAGATTCTTGAAGACTTGTATAAGTAAACAGAGAAGGATTTGAAATTGTTTTGGTAGTTGTTTGTTCGACTAATCCGGTATAAAGAAAAAGAATAATTGTAAAACCAATCACCAAAGTAATAAACAGACGTGTTGATAGAATCTCTTGTCTTTGAGTATTATTTGTACTTGATTCATTTTGAAAAATATTGAATTTTGATACGTATTCTCGGATTTGAATTATTCCTGAAGTATTCGAAGCTAGAAGAGAATTGAGCTAATTATGAAAGAACGAGATGAAGAACGTGTCGAGGTCAATATTGACAGTATGTATTAGTCAAAGTTCACTTTTTTTCTAGCATTTTGAGTGAGGCAGAATGAGAATTTGCTCTGTCGTTTTCAATAATCGATCTATCCTAATGTTTATATGACTAGATGAAGTCAAGCAAAGAAATTCTCAATTGAATTCTACTGAAGTCCTTGAGATTCTCATCCTTATGAAGAAATCATAGATATCAATAGATCTTGAAAGTCACAGTTTCTAACGAAAAAAAGTTTTTTCGTTACTCTTGGTAAGTTCTCTCTTAGGGTTCTTGATTGAGAAAATATTGCAGATTTTGGTAGATAATCGTCTGCCTTATTATTTGTTTGTTCATCAATGTCAAGGCTGATACTAAGCGGGTAGATATACATTAAACTGAAGAAAGAACGGAGGAATCGTATGGTTCGATTATTCGTAAGTCTAAGCAGTTACTTAGCTGAATTGAGAAGAATGTTAATTGTACAAGGAATAGTAAAGCAAGTAATTAGAAAGGTTTTATATCAATGATACTGTTTTTTAATGAATGAAAGCCAATCGTTTTGAACTCAACACGAAGCCATAAATCTATTTTAAAACTTTTAAAATTATCCCTGTGAATGTTTTGCGTACGACTAAATATTATTTGTTCTAGCTCAAACAAATGAATGAAGAAACCTGGAAATGATTGAACCAAATCTATGGTACTTTGAGCTTGACGTACGTTTATAACGAAGACGGAGAATCTTGGTGTCGACAGATTCTTAAATCAAACAGTAGATAGTAGAGATCGAAATAAAAAAGAAAATTTCAATTTAGTTTACTTTGAATAACAACACGAGTCATAAGAAAGTCTTGAATAAAATGATTTCCAAATTAGACTCCTCCAGGGTTACTCTATCCGACCTTGTATGATAGGAAAGAGTGAATTAATGACAAAGAATGTTAGAGTAAGGTAGAGGTGGCGTGACAAAATATCTAGATTAGAATAAAAGTTTTTTGTTCGTACTACTATAAACTGTTTTATTCAAGTGATTTATAAGACATTTGTAGCATTCATGTTATATGAAGTTTAAACAGAAAATTTTATTATAGCATAAAATGAGCGGTTGGGTTTAGAACAACGATTCACTTTTAGTTGTTGTTCTGCTTTATCTAATAAAATCAGACGACGAAAATGAACACGAAGAAGTTTACAGTTATGCTAAAGCGAAATTAACTNCTTGATTCATTTTGAAAAATATTGAATTTTGACACATATTCTCGGATTCGAATTATTGTTGAAGTATTCGAAACTAGAAGAGAATTGAGCTAATTATGAAAGAACGAGATTAAGAACGTATCGAGGTCAATATTGACAGTTTAGTATTTTGAGTGAGGCAGAATGAGAATTTACTCTGTCGTTTTCAATAATCGATCTATTCTAATAGTTATACGACTTGATGAAGTCAAGAAAAGGAATTCTCATCTTTATGAAGAAATCTTAGATATCAATAGATATGAAAAGTAGCGATTTCTAACGAAAAATATATGTTCGTTGTGCTTGATAAGTACTCTCTTCAGGTTCTTGATTGAGAAAAAAAATGGCAAGTTTTGGTAGATCCTCTACTGCCTTGTTATTTGTCTGTTCATCAATGTCAAGGCTGATACTTAGCAAATAGATATACATTAAACTGAAGAGTAAATGAAGGAATCTTATGGTTCGATTATTCATAAGTCTGATCGGCTACTTAGCTGAATTGAAAAGAATGTTAATCGTACAAGAAATAGTCACCCAAGTAATGAGAAAGGTTTTATATCTATGACATAGTTTTTTTTATGAATGAAAGCCAATCATTTTGAACTCAACACGAAACGATATACCTATTTTAAAATATGTTTTAATTATCTGCGTGAATGTTTGTGTACAACTAAATATTATTTGTTCTAGCTCAAATAAATGAATGACGAAACCTGAAAATGATCGAAGCAAATCTATGGTATTTTGAGCTTGATGTAAGTCTATAACCAAGAGGGAGAATCTTAGTTTCGACAGATTTTTAAATGAAATAATAGATCGTAGAGATCGAAATAAAAGAGAAAATTTCGATTTAGTTTACTTTGGATAACAAAATGAAACATAAGAAAGTCTCGAATAAAATTATTTCCAAATTAGTCTACACTAGGGTTACTCTAGCCGACCCTTTATGGTAGTAGAGAGTGGACTTAGGGCAAGGAATCTTAGAGAAAGGCAGAGATGGCGTAACAAAATATCTAGATTAGAATAAAACTTTTTGTTTCCACTACTAAGCTATTTTATTCAAGTAGTTTGTAAGACATATGTAGCATTCATGTTATATGAAGTTTAAACAGAAAATTTTATTATAGCATAAAATGAGCGGTTGAGTTCAGAATAACGATTCACTTTTAGTTGTTTTTCTGCTTTATCTAATCAAATCACACAGCGAAAATGAACACAAATAAATTTATAGTTGTGCTAAAGCGAAATTAACTTTTTCTGAAGAATCAGAATTGCAATGGTGAGTACATTTCTGCAAAGTCACACTTTCCAATTTGAATTCCGACTCCAAAATGTTTTATAAAATGTTTTCAAAAATTTGACTTAGAATATTCCAATTTTACCTCCGAATAAAAATACCGAAAATCTTTCTGTCACGAATCAGTAACAACTTACGTGTACGAATATGTTAAATAATTTGAAGTCATTCTACTATCAAAATATAAATTTTGTTGAACTGCATTGGAAAATATAGAATAGATTCATTAAACAGAAACAAAAAATGTTAAAGAGTTTTAAGTTTTCTTTTCTTATCAAAAAATTTAGCAGTAGTCACCAAACTGTTATCACGAGAAGAATTTCTCGATACATGGTGGTCCATAAGTAGCATTACGATAGGTGATTTGAATATCTTCACTACTTCTTGAATAGTGAACGCTAATATTTTTTCTGTAATAGAAGATACTTCAGAGTTTCTTTCTATACGAACAGTATTTATATTAAATATCGCTTTCAAGTATCATCATTGGCTTCAATGTTGAATTGTTATCTTTTAGGGCGTCGAAGCTAGTGCCTAGCAAATGTATATACGCTCCATTCATTCTATAATGTGCAAATGTTAAAAGACTAAGATACAAACAATTACAGTTTACAAGACGAAACACTAAATTATAAACGTTCGTTGAACAATGAATGGAGAATACATGAATTTGTGAGAAACTAACTTAAACATCCTAAAAAATAAAAATTCACCTTAGACTTCAGTGATAATGCTTGAAAATGATATTTATAAATGCTGTTCGCATAGAATGAAGCTCTGAAATCTCCTGTATCACAGAAAAAAGTATCGACTTCAATTGCTCAGAAGGTAGTAAAGACATTTAGATTTTTTATCGTAAAGGTAGTTTTGAATCATCCTGTAGAATCAGAAAAAGAAGCGTTCTTGTTTTGAAAAAATTTTTCTCAAAAATTTCGATCCGGAATCCGAAAAAATTGTTTTTTTTTCATTCCGATTCGGACGCCGGTTGGGTGTGAGGCATGAGTGTCAGTGTAGCGGGTGCCTTATATGTGCCTTTCTGCTTCTATAGCCACACCTCATTATCAAATGTTACAGCCAATATTTCTCGTTTATATTTGTTTCTTTTGAAAGAAAATTATCT